ATTTTGAAACATCTTTGGAGGTATGGGTTTAGTTTCCATAGGTCCAAGATGGGTATCCATCCCCCAATCTTCTTGGGGGTAAGGAAATATCGAGAATAAAACCCTTTTCCCTGGAATTCCCTGGGTACTCTTTCTATAGCTCTGATGGCGAGCAAGCGATGGATCTCTTGCCTTAACAGGTTCTTGTGAGAGGGGTCCCTGAAAAGGGATGGGATGGGTGGAGTGGTTGGGGAGGAATAGAAACAAGAGGAATGGTGAGACCGGAAGCTACAATTTTTAACACCCACTTGTCGGCGGTGACCTTGTCCCAATGGTGGTAATATGGCCTTAGACGATGGTGAAAGTGGCGAGATAGGAGCTTTGTTCGCATCCTCGACTAAGCAGTCAAATTTGCTGTTTTGCAGAAGGCTGGTTAGAGGAGTGGGCAGGCTGTTGTCGTTTCCGCTGAGGACACTGCCGGAATCATTGATGTTCCAGAGTGTGAGGTCGTTATCTGTGGAAGGAGAAATCATACCTTCATTGGTAAGTATAATAGCACTTTCGCCTGTAGGGGGTGTGCGAAGCATAGTGTGCGAAGCGTAGTTCGGGAATCCTTCCCTGAGTGCAGGACCTCATCCGTCTTGCTAGTGAAATGTTTATGCTTGTCAAAAGGTAAGTCCTCAACTTTATTCTGGAGTTCTTTTGGGACTGCTGCTGCTAAGAGCCATGAGGATCTTCTCATTGTAACCCCGGTAGTGGTGGCTTGTGCAGCAATGTCCGCCACATCCAGGGCGATCTGCAGTGCGGCTCTACATGAAGCGTATCCCTCTTGTACTATGGATTTGAGCAGTGGTCTTTTTGAGTCAGGAAGATGTTGTAAGAGGTCTGCCAATTTCAAGTAATTGTTGAAGCTGTGGTTGGAGAGAGAGCGGAATAGTTCGCAATATGCAGTAGTAATGTAGCCAAGGAGTAGACTTGATCATGATGAGGAGGGGTCATAATACGTCTTATGGTAATGACCATATCATCGTTCTGACAGTGTCGGGGATGAGTGTCGAGAAAATAAGACATTGCTATGCCTTATGTAGTAGTAATGCATCGGTGAACGGACAGGCGATCGCGAATGATGTAGTGAACGGCATGGAGATGGGAAGTGTGATATAGACAGTCTCCTCTCCCTGTGTCTTGATTCCCTACAGCAAGAATAATAAGCAGGAAATGATGGGCTACGTCATAGCACCCGATTATGCCCATGGTGTAGCTGTGTTGGTGAGGAGGGGGATGGCCTCAGAGAAAGTCAGGGAAGGAGACAAGCCCTGGGTGCGAGGTAGTCTTCACAAGAGCTTTCTCCGGTGCTGCTACAATACTATCCCCCACCGATGCCGGAGAGTGCAGTGCCGAGTGCTTTGGTAGCGGTGCCGGCGAGATTGTGCTCTCCACTGTGGGGGGGCTGCTGGTGCCATAGGCAGCGAGGCTGCTTCTACTGCCGGTGCCGACACACTCGGTGCTGCTGATGTAGCTGCCTCCTTTGTGGTTTTCCCCCACGCCAAAGGCGCCGGTGCCAATCACGTTCTCGGTGCCACAGGTGGCAGGTTTTTTTTCCTGTTAGCTCCGGGCATTTGCCAAGATCTCGGAGTGAGTGTCCCTGGCTCGTTTGGTCCGTCTTTTGAGCCTCCTCTGGTGTTAAGAGCCCCTGGGAGAGATCGAGTTGGGGATGCCCTTCACTTTTTTGAAGCAGAAGTCTCTGGAGAAGCCTCTCTGTGTTTGCGTGTGTGCTGCGCAAAAGAGGAAGGCACGTTCGTAGCTTGCAAAGCCTTATCGAACATGAGCATTTTAAATCACATTTCTTGATCTTTACGAGGTCTGGTAGTCATTTTACAACAACGCTGGCATCTCTGCGGTATGTGTGCTTCCCCATGGCACCTGATACATGTCTCATGCCAATCTGATGCTGGCATTGGCTTCCCAGCAGAGCGTACACTTTTTAAAGCCTGGGGAACCAGGCACTGTGTCACCAGGCACTGTGTCAGAGATCTTTTGTCTCTTCTTTTCCAGCCTCCCCTCCTCCCGCCACCACTTTTTTTTTTTTTTAAAGTGTTAACGAAGACGAAAGAGTACTAACGCACCCCTTAACTATATACATATATGTGTTAAATATTTCCTTTCTTCTTTTTTTCAAACAAGAACTATGAACAGGAACAAAGAAAGAATAACTAATAACTTGCGATATCAGCTATTTACAGAGTATACTGAGGAGATACACGGATGAGAAGATGGAACTCCATCTGCGACCGAGGACGTTTGGAAGGAACTGAGTGGGGCCGAAACACGCGCAACAGATGAAAGGTGCAAACGGCGTCAGCCGCTGCTCGTGCATGCGCAATCCGGCGGAGCATGGCTATGCAAATCTCTGATCCGCGGCTCCGGGACGAGCCCAACACCATGAGTGGAGCACCCATGGGGACCACTCGAAGAAGTATATGAACATGATTTGGGGACTGCAGCCATCTTCAGCACAGAAAGTGCTAGCAGTTAGCATCAGTACGCTGCCCCCTATAGTAACTCCGAAAAACCACACATTAAGACCCAAACTCATACAAAGATATGTAACATTTTCATGGAGAAGAAGCTCAAATAATAGCCTTCAAGTAATTTTATGGATCACAACTAGCTATTTTTATAATGTAAAAGGTAATTCATTCAAAATACCGCTTGAAATGCATATTAATCAGGGTTCTTGCCCAATTAAATTAATGTTTTCAAAGTTAAAAAGGCCATTAAACTTCATGACATTTCTCCCCCTCTTCACTGACCTATTTTGCAACTCGACAACGTACTTAGACCTGAAGTGAAGGCTTTTCAGCCCGAGGAATGGAAAACTGCCACCAGCCTAAATTTATTTACCGGAAAACCACAAGGCATTAATGTTGTCACACAGGCACAAGAATATTTTCAAAGACAAACATTATGTTTAAATGTCTCCATCACCACCTCCCCAACTTAAAATTGCACACCTACCTTCACTCTGCAATCAAGCAATAATGAAGATGCAAGCCTATTTCTAGGGTTATTGTAACTGCTATACATTACAATTGAATGGAAACAGGGAAGAGTGCACTCGCACATTACCGTTCGGGGTCTTAATTTTCTTCACAACTCTACACAAGTGAAAATAAAGTTTTTATAGAGGGAAGTATTAGGCTAGATTACCTAATGGTTGAACAGCTCTCCCCTCTTTCAGTCCCCCACGGTGCCGCTACAGTGCAACTTGGAGGCATTATTCTCAGCTTGGATAGATATACATAACACTAGTTCTGATTTGTCAGTGTGCTAAAAATAACAGTGTGCCACAAGAGCAAGGGCAGCAGCTTGGGCTAACCATCTGAGCACACATGTAGTGTGCTCAGATGGGATTGCACATGGATGGCTACCCATAGTCATCAGCAGTGCTGCCCCGGCCAGCTACTATTTTTAGTTCAGAGCTAACAATTGTACATCTACTGTGCAGTTGTACCTACATATGTATAGATATGTTAATAGTTAGCTTGGAGGGACATTTTAATGTATCATTTCATTTGTCTGAAAATGCAACTCCTATAGAAACAAGTACAACTTAAAATTAGTGTCTGAAACAGCTGAAAAAACCCTTGGGGTTTTTTCTACCACTTTGCACATCTGAGAGAACTATGTATAGAATTACTTTTATTCTTTTCCCTTCTTGATCAGTTTCCCTGTTTGTGCATATTTTTCATATAGCAAAATGAGAGAAACATCATTTTTTAAATAGGAAAAGATTTAAAACCACAAAAATTAGGAAGATGACTCCAGAGCAAATGTAGAACCCGAAATTAATTTAAACTTTTTTATTGAGTAGTTTGAGAGTTGAAATATTGCTTTAATTGAAAAAGAATCCAAAGACAATAGCATTCATACAGCAAAGAAACACTTAATTGTGGGAACTTTAAAGCCAATCAAACCTTTAAACTGTGTATGTAAAAGGGATGTAAAATTTCAATTAATCAACTAATTAAGTATTTGATGGAATTTCCAACGACTACTTGATTAGTTGATAAGGGGGGGCGCTAGCCATCCCGCTGGGCCTCTCCCTTTGAAATGTACAAGAGCCATGGGCAGCTCTTGTACATTTCAAAGAGCAAGGCACAGCAGCAGGGACACCTCTGCATCCCCTGAGAGACGGTGCTGGGGGAAACTGGTTTTTAAGCCCCCCAGCACCGGCTCCTACTCTTCCCCCACTTGCTGCCTCTCTCTGATAGTGGCAGCAAGGGAGGGGGGGGAAGCAACTAGTCGAGTGACTATGTGACTATCTGATAAGCTTACATCCCTAGCATGCAACAGTGAACTATATACTATCACAAGTTAGACAAAGCACATGCAATGTACATGAAAACCTGACATGCTTACTAACATTTCAGCAATGGTTCCCCTCAGCTTATGTTGTTCATAGTAATATGCTGTTTTAAGCTCCCTTCATTATTTATTGCAGTCACTATGTCCCATGTTATAGTTATAAGCTCTGTGGAGAAGGGAGAGTCTTGCTATGTGTTTGTACAGTGTCTGCCTCAATGGAGTCACCATCACGGACTATGGCCCAAGGAACTACTGCAATGCAAATAAATAGTTTATATAATAATCCTCCCACAGGGTTAAGGATAGGTAAATACATGAAGGCTAGCCTTATGTAGGGATTTCCAAAATTACTTTCCTGCACTGAATCACTTAACGACCTATAGTATTAAAAAATGATGCAGCAAGGGGGTGGTTTCTTGTCTCATTGTGAAAGTTTTAAATTATATTGATATCTTATAAAAACAAATGTCACCATCCTGCAAACAATGCAATCATGGCAGAAAACAAGGAAGTTTTTGTAATGGGGTATCTATTGCATTTCTAATACTGTTTTGAGGTAGCTAGTTTATTAAAGTCAATTATCTGGCTTTCCAGAGATTAGTTATTTGAAGTGGTAGAGAAGAACAATAAGAACATATTTAAAAAGATGTTACCTTCCCTTAGCCGCTCTACTACAAAAGTGAAACCAGTAGTTCGTGGATGCAAGACATATTCATATTTCTGAAGTCCATTCTTTTCAGCAAATTCATTACTGCGGGCTTTGGTATTGGCTAAAGATTTAAAAAAAAGCACATCAACAATATGATTATTAGTAGGGATTATAAAGTTTCATGATGTTATAACTGCTTCTAGTATAACAGCAGCACAAAGAATACATCACTGTAGCATTTGTTCTGAAGGCAGCAGACTAACACTGATTTTGGTTCATGATTCATAATACCATGAGATAGAGCAACGTGTGGGATTTTTTTCCTTAGGTTATTATTAAAAAAAAAAAATCTTCATGTATTCTTAATTAGCCTGCCTTTCACATTTACCATAACTAAATACTGAAAGACTTAATAAATTTATTATTGCAGTATACAAGTTCCATAAGTGAGGGAAATTGGAATGACATTTTAACTCAAAAGGTATAATTTTTAGTAGTGTAAGCTTTAATAATATGAGCTGAAAACCTTTAAAGTCAACGTTTTGTGTCAAACAGAATTATTATAAGTACCTTATTCCCAGGTGAAAAGAAAAAAGTTAACGTACACAAGTAACAATTAGTCAACAGCACTAGATCAATACTTTTGTCAGTTAGCTTATTCATTTTGAACCTGACGGGCTTTAGTCACTAGTCTAGTCATAAATTTGAGTTGCACTTATATACAGTATATTACATTTTTGACCAACTCCTCTCTACAGCGATATAGGTTTGTAAACCCTGTATTCCTAAATCATCTGAAAGCAGTTCTGGTGAAAACTTAGGGAAGAAGAATCCTCCCGGATGCAAGGTAACTGCACAACTCTTCAGAAATAATTACTACACATCCCATTCAGGAAGCCAAAAACAGAGGAAAAAAAAAGAAAAAACCTCTATAGACAAGTGGACATAAATCCATTTGTTTTATAGTATGCATAGGAGACTTCAACTTGTCTGATCAAAGTAATGCATCCTAAGTGGCTTTGGTTGCAGTATTCCATTGGTGTCACTGCATCTTCAGGGCCACTAAGCCAAAAGACACCTAGGATCTCCCCATGCCAACATAATGAAAAACGATTTAAATAAATGTATCAATTAAACGACACCTGACATTTTGTAGGCAGGGAGATGTTCAAAAGAGGACATTACGGCAAAAGAAGTGTGGGAAAAAAAATCTGTGACCGATCAAAACAAAATCCAATGCACGTAGAAAACTGAGTTCATTAGAATCAACCATAGCTAACAGAGCTTTAGAGAATGCTAATGGAAAACCCATCGTTGCTTAATAAGCTAGCAAAATTGATTAAGTTCAGTTCATTCCTTTTCCTTTTAATTTCGTCAAGCATTGTCACCTAGCTCATTTGTCATGCAACATAGAGATTAATTCCAATCATTGCGTTAGTAAAGCCATTCTGCTCCTTTTTTTGCCAAGATTGCCTTTTTTATTCTAAACCACATGCTCTCTCTATTGCTCACTGGTAAATATGTTACTTTACACAGAGAACCCCCCATGAACATGCTACACAATAGCAATGTGCTAAACAATTTTTCAATTTAACAAGCAAAAATGCACCACATATTAGGTAGAATGCAGTCTTTCATGGATGTTGTCCTTAAAAAAAAATTACTAGTGGAGCAGAGACTAACTAACCACCTAATTTGGAGACAATAATAGCTACTACCCAGCAACCACTATGGCATACTATGGCACACTACCAGGGAACAAGTAATTAAAGCAACCAAAAGAATCTAAACATTTTCCTCCAACCTAAAATTACATTAAAAAAATACAGCTAAAAGAAAAGCTTCCAAACCTAGGAAATTTGAGGAACGTTAAAATAGCTGAAAAGAAATGTTCTGCTTGAGGACCATTATCCACAGTGGCTAGCTGATCCACACAAAGAAGTTAAAACTATTTTGCTAACTTTTTCAATGTCCTACTGTTGACAGAGGTCTAGAGAAACTTTTCATCTGGTAAAGGTCTCTGCACCACATGGGAGAGGAATCATGAACGGGTTTCAGGGAAGTTGCAGCCATTCTATCCTCCCCAACAAGAGGTGGAATTGCAGACAGTCGCGAGGAGAGGCCCCAGAGTGAGCCTGGCTTAGTACATTCTGAGTGGATAGGACAACTGAGAGATGCTAGCCGACAACTTGTTGTTGAAGGCTCTAGCTGGTGTTTGACTATTTACGTTCCTGACATTCTGAAAACATCAGCCAGTGAAAAAGATGATGTGCAGGCAATATCTGTATACCAACCCCCCTAAAAGCTATGTTAAAAGAACATCATTAATGTTGCAAATCAAGCACTCAAAAGTTAGGAAATGCCAGTATTGTAGTAGCCTGTGCAAATTTAATTTGCCCTCTTATGCAAATGCCTTATAATACAGTCTTTAATTATACAACAACATATTGTTTTTCCCACTGCATCTCTGCCTCATTCTCTTTGCTCTCAGGATGAGTAATGTTTGTGTCTTAAGGGAAACTTCTGTCTCTAGGAGCCCTGCTTTATTTCTTGCTGAAGTCAGTATGTGTGTAATGAATGCAACAGAGAAATGAAGAAAGAAAGGGTGGTCTCATGGTTAAGACCCTGGATTCTCTCTCTTCATGGGTCCGTATGTAACTTCCAGCCAGTCACATAAACCAACCTTTTTAAGGGTGATCATGAATACTATGTTCTTCCTTTCTGGGTGAGCCCTCACAACTACCACTTAACTTGAAATGTTCATTCTTGTCCAGTACATTTTTTTTTAAAACAGTCCGTGAAGCTTATAACACTTCTCAGGGTTCCAGAGATATAACATACACAAAACAATACATGAGCATTTACATTTTTAACATAACTCCTAAGATACATAAGAGTTATGTCAATAAGGTTTGTTCAGGACATTGCAGGAATTGCCATATCGATTATACTGAACACAGAATTTCAGACCTGTCAATCTGTATTTCATAGCACGTGGAAATATTGGTAAGAGAAACTTATGAGGCAAACACATTTGACTTAATTGAGAGGCATAGTGTACTTAGATGAGAGATAAACACTCAACATATGTACAGATAGACTGAGTTAGACTGAGTTAACATGACCTAACATCTAAGCTGGGAAAACTGATACATGCACCAAAATTCAATCGCATTGCTTCATTAAAGAGACTACGGGTCAGGAAAGAAAACCTCCAAGATCAAATAAAACCATTGAGTAGGGATTTGACAAATAGGCCTTGACAGAGGGGCAAAAGTCCTTGTCTACACATGCAAACTGCATAGGTTAAACTCAAATTTGTCAATTTGCACATTGAGACAAA